GCGCGCACGAGGTCATGTGGAAGCCAATGAGAGTGAAAGGAATATTCGCCACAAGCAGCAGCCAATCTTTATCACGATTTGGGCAAGGGTCTCAATCACCGGTCGCTCACCACACAACTGTCTGTTGAAAAGCGAATAAAACTCGATACAGACCTAGCTAACGAATGCTCCAGTGCACCATTGTTACTAAGGTATCTTCTTCAAAGAGGAATGACGTTCTTTCAAAGGTAACCAGCTTCTGCATAAGGGGCAAAAATTGTTTAGGACTGATCTCATGATACTGTTCCCGATTTCACATCCTCAAACAATGGCTCTCATATCTCTCGATTTCAACCTGCTGGACCATCCTATTTGGGCTATATTAGGGGACAGAGCCTGCACTAAACAATGCATCCAAACAGAGGAGCTGAAGCCTTTTCTCTAGAAAGTTTCGAAGAAGGCACTCCAGGATGCCATGCGGGAAACACTAGAGTTGTGTTCGAAGCAACTGGAGCCATACTCACAGCGACAGGGAGACTTATCGAATAAATGTCATTCCTTTCAACACCTTAGTGACTAAGAATTATGTGTGACTTGAAGATACGTCCACTTTGAAAGAAGTTACAAGTTAAGAAACGTGTTGTAATATTTACGGAACATCCTGTAGAATCCAACTGGACCAACAGTTTCATTTCTGATTGCAAATGATGACTCAGCGTTCAATATCGAGATATAACGGACGGCCAGGGTTTAATCGCGTGCCCACCATGTGGCGCACGCCGCCACCAGGGTAGGGTTTATGTAGGCTTATGCGAACAGCAGGGTAAGACGGGGCTAAAGTAGGTGTCCGTGTCTCATCATCCAAAAGAAGAGATTTCCGTTGACGACAACTTCGTAACCCGCCTTTCCGCTCTAAAACTAGGGTGCAAAGGATGCTGCAGGTGACTCTACGAACATTGCCCCAAGAGAAGAAAACTGAACAGCGTGCGTGTTATCTTTTGAAAAAACGCTGTGGTGAATAGAACATATAATCCATTCTTAATGTCGCTTCAGGTCCGTTTACATAATTGGAGGCGCTGCAACTCACCAGTCAATATACTGTTTCTTCCTGCCGCTCGGTCTCACGGTGCTTACGTTACACTATCGCCACTGTATACATTGGTATTGTATAGTCGATGATTGCTGGATTTCTATTGAACAATTTCCAAAAAAATGGGTTGATCACATTGTGCGTCTGTGGTCTAAAATTGTTACTTCAGAGTGGTATTTTGCCTAATTAGCGAAATAGCAGTACTTCTTGTAATATAGCAGTGACAGGAAAGATACAGTAGAGATTTGGGGCAAATTACTGATTTAGAAAATCTACAGGGTGTCCCATAAATATCGCAACACATTTTGTGCTGCCATTGTGTGGGAGTGTTGTAGTTTTTTTCCCAAGTTTGGCATACCTCCACTCCCTACAACCTCTTGTGATAAACTTGCCAAAGTGCACAGCTTACCATTAGCTGTACATCTCATGGTGCACCTAAGTTTCAGTAAAAGCCTTGATCCCCCATAGAGCTAGGTCGGACATCCGGTGATAAACATCGCGCTTTTTTGGGATTTTTTGATCGATCCGCGGCCTACCGTGTACTGAAGAGGGCACCAATAAAAGAAGACTTTGTTGCGGCCGTCCCAC